AGTGTTATCTGTTTGGAAGCTGTTCGCCTCGAAGTTTATTATCGATTTCAGGCAAGTCGTGAGGGATAATACGGAACCTCTTTTATTGCATCAGTAGGAAGCTAAAGTGAGTGTATATTCCCCGAATGTATAAAATATAGGCAAACATATTGTCAAAAAATGTGTGACACAGTGCCTTTAAGCTCAGAGCGATGGGCTTTGGTACGTGTCCGGTGTCCGGTTCAAAATCAGTGGAGATAACCGAATCCTGGCACGGTTGCTAGGGGCATCTCGGCATTGTGAATTGCGGATCCTGGGACATCTGTGCCGCCCCCTGAATATTATTTGTATGTGGTGCAATAAACATTCACAAGAAAATAGAACAAGCGCGTGGCAAAATTTGTCTGAAAAAGTGACCTTGACCTTGCTCTCCGACATGTTTACCAGTAACATATGGCGATATGAATGCAACTAATTTTCTTAATGCACCTCACAGACAACTTTCTATGTGTACTCCACAATTGGAACAACGTCTGGCTCTATTTTAAGTAATATCATTATCGTCCAATAGTTTCCAAACGATGTGTAACACAGAACATGAACTCAGCGGTTCACTGTGGACAAGAACCTTTTCGTGTCAACTCTCCCATTACATAAAACAAGGTCAATCCCACGCATGCGCATCTTGCTAACGGAGGGGTCATGTGATAGACAGTGAGCACACGTTATTACTAAGAGATTTGTATCACTAAAACCTTAATATCTGTTGGGAATCTCTTTGTACGATACGGAAATGAAGGCGAAACTCATTGATCAGGTTAGCGTTAATACGGGGAAGACTTGTCAATTTGAGCCAAAGTCTGGGAAGCGGTATACTCATGAGAGGTTTCTCGGTCTAATCAAATTTCAGATATCAGTAATGACGGACTGATGCTGTTGATCTGTTTGAGGTTGTCACAGCCTGCGTTAAATAAGGAATGTAATTTTTAGAGTAATCTATTTCATATACGTGTTTTGATATATTAATGAAGTCGTTTTAAATAATTGAATTGTTACAAGTAAGCTTGATCCATATCTTGGTCAGCGTGATGATTCCATGCAGTTTTAAGCAATGGTTACTCAGTCAGTATTGTAATAGTTGTCATTGCGTTCGAGTTAAGCATAACACCAAGCTCACTCTCAGTGCGCTCTTGGCGTAGCTATTATATTATTACTATATTGTAATTGGTTTATTCAATAAAGGGGGCACAGGCCCATTTTACAGTTACATGAGTCATATCATGAAAGTGGAAATCTGGAGCGCCATAATACTGTACAAGGTCAATAAACATACACTTAATGGGCTGTACAAGTTTTGTTAAGGTAATTGTTACGTTGTTTGAATGCAAGGAACAAAAACTTCGCTAAACGATTTAAAATACCTGGATCGTGTGATGTGCAAAGTAATACCAGTGTATCATAAGAAGGATGAGTACAATAGAACTCAGGCAAAATTGTATGTCTGAGATTATAGTAAAAAGGACATTCCAAACACATGTGATATTCTGTCTCAATTACAGGTATAACACAAAATGGACATAATCTAGAATTTCTTGTATATTGACATTATATATTCTTGAATTATATATATATGGGTATTTATATAGCGCTATAGTCCATCCCATCTACAAGCATGCCCAAAGCGCTTTGTTTTTTCCCTCGAGCACTGGATGTCAATCTCAACGGTACATCGTATTTCAAAATCTCAACTTCCTGGGGATCATATACCTTGTGCAGCCACTAGGCGCATCAAATTAATATGGTTTTCCCATCCTTACGACCATTATATCTGGTTGGTTTTGTTAACATGGGGTAAGTTGGTGAGTAAAGTTTACGCCGCTTTTAAAATATTTCAATATTATCACGGTTCTTGGAACACCAGAACTGGAATTCACACATTGAACCCATGTAAGGAATCGAACCCGGATCGACAACCGACCGCTTTAACCATGAGATCCACCGCCCCCGTTTTGTCGTAAAAATGATGTAGATGTACATTTGCTGTTGTTGACTCTTGTGTTTATAACACTGTAGGGGACAAAGTTTCCAAATTTTGCTTGCCAGTCGGGCTGGATATGCCTGAAAGTTACCAGCCCACAAAATAATGCACTTGCCCAAATTGTGAATGTAGAAATAAAGCAAATGATTTGAAAAAGGTAAAATACCATCATATGTCAGGCCATAATCTTGAATGATTTAAAAGTGTATGATAACCTTAACAAGCCGGAAAGAGTGGAATATTTAAAAATGACCCCATGAAAAATCACTAGCCAGTCGGGCCAGTGACTGTGGAGTCACATTAAAATTAAAATACATTAAAATGTCTTCATGTATTAAACTTACGAGATGGAATGTCATATCATATATCATCTAACTGTGAGTAAGACTTAGTATCAATCAATTGTAACTTGATTTGAATTGGGGACAGTAGGGTAGTCGAGTGGTTAAAGCCTTCGCTCGTTACTCCGAAGAACCGGGTTCGATTCCCCACATGGGCACAATTGTGTGAAGCCCATTTCTGGTGTTCCCCGCCGTGATATTGCTTGAATATTGCAAAAAGAGACGTAAAACCATACTCACTCACTACACACAGTTTTCGGAATAGGTATGTCTCATCGAACGACTGTCATAGGCGGGTCCAGAGGGATGTGGGAGTGGGAGAGTGTTAAAGGGCGGAGAGACCAGAAATGGGCTTTACACACTGCACCCATGTTTGGAATCGAACCTGGGTCTTCGTGGTGACGCTATAACCACTGGGCTACCCAACTGCTTGTGTCATGTACACAGACAAACAACGAGTGACTTAAACATTGTGTTAAACCATTAAATCTGATGTTACTGTAATTCGTCTGTTGTGCATAATAGTAGAGATTCTGCTGCTTTAAAGAAGAGCGTGTTCCCTATAAAAGCGTTTAACAGTATATGACTCATAGAGAATACTACACGAGGTCTCATTACATACGAATTATACGAAACGAGTGTCCTTCCTATGGTATCTGACCGAGCGAAAGCGAGGTCAGATAACATAGGAAGGCCACGAGTTTCGTATAATTCGTATGTAATGAGACCGAGTGTGGTATTTTATTTATTACCCACGTCTTACATGCATTAAATTGACAAAATAGCGTATTTTTGTTAATATTTTGGTTTCAAACCGAAACCGGTTTCATAAAGGGGTTGCGGAAGAGTTTTGTACTGTAGTACAATATTTGCATGACGTCACACCAACATGACGTCACTGCCTTGGTAACCGACGTCACGATGCATGTCAGTTGTCATCGCCTCGAACAGCCTCCTACAGTAAACTACTCCGTAGCACCCCGTTTCTTGGTTTGCAGTTGCTTCATTCGGCTAACATCACTGGTGGAAACATTGCGTTTATGTTTTTCGACGGATATAATGTCTCAGTTTGACTCACAATTAAACAGCGACACGGCAACGTTCTCGATGTTTACATTCCCACAATGCATTTAAGTTGTAGAATGAATGAATTCACGTGTTTGTTATGAATGAAAAATAGTTACGTCAGAATGTGACCTAATTGAGAGGTCATCGGTTATCCAATCAAATCGTTAGAATCTCAGGTCAAGTCGGTTACGACACAGGTCAACGCAATACGACACACGTGTGACGTACGAGATTAGTATGCAACTACCCATACGTTGACCACGTGGGTAATAAATGCGTATACTTCATGCATCCAGGAGCTCCAACTAAAGAACGATCGTCTCACTGCGCCGATACTCGCATTTTTATTCACCTGAGGCTGTTAAAGAATGTTTCTCCCGCATCGGCATGTGGCTGAAAATCCTGTCACTCAATTTTCTTACCAATGCGTAGAACGAAATAATATTACAGTGGTCCCTTTAAGTTCGTTAGGACCGTAGTTTTGTGAATGTTGTATCGACCATGTCGACGTCGTGTATGTTACAGATACAGCCCCGTAGCTCTTGTGATACCCGTGACTCGGGTTAAAAGTGGTCTTCAGCAATCTATGCTTGTCGTAAGAGGCGACTAACGGGATCGGGTGGTCAGGCTCGCTGACCTGGTTGACACATGTCATCGTATCCCAGTTGCGTAGATCGATGCTTATGCTGTTGATCACTGAATTGTCTGGTCCAGACTCGATTATTTACAGACCGCTGCCATATAAATGTGCGGCGGTAAACAACCAACAAAAACAAAAACTCTTGTTTAGAAGTTTTCCTCCTTAATTACTTTTCTTTCCAAGAAATTGGTCCTTCCGCCCTCCTTACTTTTGTGGGTCTGTGGGGTAGTAAAATGGTTAAAGCATTCGCTCGGGTACGTTTCCTCATTTGAGAACAAAGTGTGAAGCCCATTTTTGGTGTTCCCCGATGTGATATTATTAGAATAATGTCAAAAAGCGGCATAAAAGCATACTCATAGCTTCCTTCTGAGAAAAAGATATATGGTAAACATTTCTTGATTTAAGTGAAACGACATGCATCTGAACACCAAATGTGTAGGAGATCACAAGGGGAAGAACGGTCATTAACTTGTCAATGCGTATGTTAGACACAGATTTTACAAACGCTTCAACCACTTACAATTCGATAAAGCAATACAAGTTTCCTCCCTTGTCTTCCTGGCGTCAATTTGCTGGTTGATTTGGCTGTAGATAGTGAATGAGTTTTTACGCCGCTTTCAGCAATATTCCAGCAATACCAAGGCGGGGGACACAAGAAATGGGCTTCACACATTGTACCCATGTGGGTAATCGAACCCAGGTCTTCAGCTTGACGAGCGAACCCTTTAACCATTAGGCTACCTCACCGCCCCCTACATGCGGGAGCGAAGGGATTCTTTTATATATGTCGCTGGTGATGATTTGCTAGGGGTGATACTAGAAGATGCTGCGTGACGACTTGAAGATCGTAAATGTGAAGCATTAATACTCATATCTCGCAAAGTCACTAACTCACTCCTGCATTCAGATCCATATATCACAAAGAACAAGCTGAAATTATTAATGTGCTTATTTTATTAAACATTCGGTCATCAATTAGAATATATAGTTTCATGAAATTTAGCATACGCTGTTTATATTGGAGCATGCATGGAAAAGGAACTCGGGATTATAAGAAGCAAAACAACATCATAAGAATGAAAGGTAACATCGCAAAACAATACACGAATATAAAGGTCAGAACTAAGGATACATTAAACATTTTGAATCAACATCAACTGAAATGAGGAACGTATTACAATTGGCTTTCTTAAGTTCGAGAAGCAACTTAATATTCCCTTTGGGACAACGTAAGTGGGTCCCTAACCCATAAGTTCACACAAATAAGCTCCCCCAGATATGAGCTTGATACTTTCTTCGTCACAGAACTAGGCGACAGTGCAAATGGCAAATCGAAACACATATGAGAACAAAGAAGTTGTGAGTAAATAAAGTAATGATACTCTTGATTCAAGTCTCCGTTGTGGTGTCTGACTTGATAAGTTCCTCGGGCGGAGGAGGAAGTGGTGGTTCGACTGGAGTAGCTTCCCCTTGCTTGTTCTCGGTGCTTTGTGCCAGTAGCATGGCCTCCATTTCAGCCATCAGAGATGGTTTATCTCCGCTGGTGGTGACAACTTTCCCAGGGTCGTCCTTACCCGCTTCCTGACAGCTCATGTCCTTCTTGTCAGCTTCTTTTGCAGCGTCTACGATTGTTTCCGTGGTCGTGATGCTGGTTGACACAATGCCGGTGTCAGCAACTCCAGTTCCAGTGGCTGTAACGACAGCGGTAGCAGTAGACGTTACTACAGCAACAGATACTGCCGTTGAGTCAGTTGCAACGGTTGTAGTTGCAGTAGAGGTCGTGTCATTCAGAATAAACTCTGGTGGGTCAGGTAACTTCTCTTCTTTGCCTGCTTCAGTCTCCGCAGTCGTAGATGCTGCAGCAGCAGGAGTGGTCGATGTAGTGTCAACATCTGCAGTTCCAGCCGCCCCAACTTCCACTACTGCCGTGGTTTGTACTGTTTGTGCAACGTCACCAGCCTGTTTAGGGGCTTCTGCATCACCAGCAGCGGGAGTTTCTTGTTTGATGTCTTCTGATACCTTTGCATCTTTCTTTTGCCGCTTGTCCTTCTTCTTTCGTTCCTTTTTATCTTTCTTTGATGTAGCCTTGGGTTTCTCCTCCTTTGGTAGACGAGCCTGCCTTTTGCATAACCTGAGACGGAAAAGGCGTCGTATACATTAGATCCGGTACAAAGTGCATTGATTTCTTAATCTGTGTTTTTGTTAAGATTAACGGGTATGAGTGCAAATGCTTTTTCAGCGAAAGACGAAACGAAGGATCATGGTTCGTTGGTAGGTTTGTTGTACAACGCCGCACTCAGCTATATTGCAGCTATTTGACGGCGGTCTGTAAAAATCTGGACCAATCTAGTGAACGACAGCATCAGCATCGATCTACGCTGACCCGATGCCTTTAGTCGCCTCTTACGACAATCATGGTTGGTTGAAGACCACTTCTAACCCGGATGAAGGACCATGGTAGTTCCGCACGCAGACATAACCATACATAAATCAAAAATGAGTTTATGCAACTGCAGACAATTTCTCTCGCAGTGGTCTTGTCGTCTCCATTGTAAGGGAGGGATGGTGGGTAATATTAATATCCTCCGGCTACAGGATAGATAGACTACTATTCAACGCCGTTTATCTTAATGTGACAGCCATTTGAAACCAGTTGAAAAAAACAGTCTCTTCAGGACAAACTAATGACTGGAATCACCAGCAACGGTCCCTGAAGTCGAATCGCGATGACATCTAATCAGCTCACAGAGCCTAACCATCCGCTGTGGAAGAATTGAATATTCACTTAAGGATTCATTTAAATATCACTCTAGAGTGATTTCATCTAGGTGACTTACCAGATCCCCCGTTCTCCGGTCAGGGGTCGGTTGGGAAGCTTAGTTTTCGCCCGCCAAGCCGATGGCCCGGGTTCGATTCCCAACATGGGTCGATTCTTGGTGTCCCCCGCCGTGATATTGCAGTAATATTGCTAAAAGCGGCGTAAGTCCTTACTGACTCACTCACTTATCCTGTCCGATTAGATTACTGGCAAATTGGCATTTGTCTGCTACAGGGAAACCTACTATGACCATGGGTAAAAACATGTATTGGAAACAATGTACAGGAGTGGAACAATAAATGGTGGTCATATTTTGCTCTGATAGCTTTAATCCATACAAGCAATTCTATGGTGAATAGAAATGCTAAATACAAACGTGTACCTCCTCAGAACGCAGATAGTGACCAAAATCATGTTGATGATGGTGAAAGCTCCGACCGCGATCATTATGACATGATTCATATTGGCTATCTCTTGTGCTGAAAAAGGAGAATGCCAGTTAGTGAAATGACATATAAGACGTTGCCGCAAAGGTATATTCAAACATAGATGTGAATTGTGACAGATACATTGTCAAAGACTGAATACTTGCAAATCCACTTCTTACGTGCTTGGATTTATTGTGTTAAAGCAAAAAGATATTGAAACAAAAATCGACTTACGACTGCAAAGAAAATAATGTTCTTTGTCGCATGGATCAGTTTTTGGGATTTTGGTAGACCAGTTCAGCATAGGGCATTCTGAAATATAGTTGTGTGTATCAAGTTTCATAATTCAATATTTGATTCAGTATTAAGACTTCAGTCCTCCAATGAAATCAAATATAAGTGATCCTGCTGTAAATGTTCACAAATGCAAGCACCGATGAATAAAAAACAAACCTTGCATTCATACAATCCTCATAAACGGAAGGGCTGAGTGATTTACGTGAGTTTCAAGCAATATTTACCCCCCTTCAACTCATATACCACTTCTTTGAGGTGCACAGCTTCAGCCTCAACACAATTAAGTATTTATACAACCATATTTATGCAAATATCAACTACAATAAGTTACCAATACTTTCTACACCATGTGTCTCCCCACACATACTATAACGATACTTCTTATTTCCAGATGGATATATCTGTCCTTGCCGATACTAGTTTGTCATTATGACTTGAAGATTGTAACTGAACCCAAACTATTTGTCAGCAATATATCATGATGACTTGAAGATTGTAATTGGAACCCAAACTATCTGTCACCAGTATATCGTGATGACTTGAAGATTGTAATTGGAACCTAAACTATCTGTAAATAGTTTGTCATTATGACTTGAAGATTGTAATTGAACCCAACTATGTCACGAGTACGTCATAATGACTTGAAGATTGTAATTGAACCCAAAACTATCTGTCACCAGTATATCATTATGCCTTGAAGATTGTAATTTAACCCAAACTATCTGTCAGCAGTATATCATGATGACTTGAAGATTGTAATTGGAACCAAAACTATATGTAACCAGTCTATCATGGTGACTTGAAGATTGTAATTGAACCCAAACTATCTGTCTCCAGTATATCGTGATGACTTGAAGATTGTAATTGAACCCAACTATGTCACGAGTACGTCATAATGACTTGAAGATTGTAATTGAACCCAAAACTATCGGTCACCATTAATCATTATGACTTGAAGATTGCAACTGAGCCCAAACTAAATGTCACCAGTTTATGATGATGACTTGAAGATTGTAATTGGAATCAAAACTATCAGTCACCAGTCTATATTGATGACTTGAAGATTGCAATTGGAACCCAAACTATCAGTCATCAGTCTATAATGATGACTTGAAGATTGCAATTGGAACACAAACTATCATTCACCAGTCTATAATGATGACTTGAAGATTGCAATTGGAACCCAAACTATATGTCACCAGTACATAATGATGCCTTGAAGATTGCAATTGTAACCCAAACTATATGTCACCAGTACATAATGATGACTTGAAGATTGCAATTGGAACCCAAACTATATGTCACCAGTACATAATGATGCCTTGAAGATTGCAATTGTAACCCAAACTATATGTCACCAGTACATAATGATGCCTTGAAGATTGCAATTGGAACCCAAACTATCTGTCACCAGTACATAATGATGCCTTGAAGAATGAAATTAGAACCCAAACTATATGTCACCAGTACATAATGATGCCTTGAAGATTGCAATTGGAACCCAAACTATATGTCACCATTACATAATGATGCCTTGAAGATTGCAATTGGAACCCAAACTATCAGTCACCAGTACATAATGATGCCTTGAAGATTGCAATTAGAACCCAAACTATATGTCACCAGTACATAATGATGACTTGAAGATTGCAATTGGAACCCAAACTATATGTCACCAGTACATAATGATGCCTTGAAGATTGCAATTGGAACCCAAACTATATGTCACCAGTCTATCATGATGACTTGAAGATTGTAATTGGAACCTAAACTATCTGTAAATAGTTTGTCATTATGACATGAAGATTGTAATTGGAACCCAAACTATCTGTCACCAGTACATAATGATGACTTGAAGATTGCAATTGAGCCCAAACTATCTGTCACCAGTTTATGATGATGACTTGAAGATTGCAATTGAGCCCAAACTATCTGTCACCAGTACATAATGATGACTTGAAGATTGCAATTGGAACCCAAACTATCTGTCGGCAGTCTATAATGATGACTTAAAGATTGTAATTGAACCCAAACTATCTGCTGACCTGAGAAGTATAATTGAACCCAAACTATCTGTCACCAGTATATCATGATAACTTGAAGAATGAAATTGGAACTCAAACTATCTGCCACCAGTATATCATGGTGACTTGAAGATTGTAATTGAACCCAAACTATCTGTAACTAGTTTGTCATTATGACATGAAGATTGTAATTGAACCCAAACTATATGTCACCAGTATATCATGGTGACTTGAAGATTGTAATTGAACCCAAACTATCTGTAACTCTTTTATGCACTCTACATATTCTTTTATGCACTTTATTTATTCTTTATGCACTCTACTTATTCTTTAATGCACTCTACGTATTCTTTATGCACTCTATTTATTCTTTATGCACTCTACTTATTCTTTAATGCACTCTACGTATTCTTTATGCACTCTACTTATTCTTTAATGCACTCTACATATTCTTTTATGCACTCTACATATTCTTTTATGCACTCTACTTATTCTTTTATGCGCTCTACTTATTCTTTTATGCACTCTACTTATTGTTTATTCACTCTCCTTAATCTTTAATGCACGTGCACTCTACTTATTCTTTATGCACTCCACATATTATTTAATGCACTCTGCTTATTCTTTATGCACTCTACTTATTATTTAATGCACTCTACGTATTCTTTTATGCACTCTACATATTCCTTTATTCACTCTACATATTCGTTTATGCACTCTGCTTATTCTTTAATGCACTCTACTCTTTTATGCACTCTACATATTCTTTTATGACTCTACATATTCTTTTATGCACTCTACTTATTCTTTAATGAACCACTACATATTCTTTTATGCACTCTACATATTCTTTAATGCACTCTACTTGTCGGTCCAAAATACAAGTATATGAAGGTCAAGGTTTTAGGAGATCGAACAGCTAGGCAATCGCCGATTCCTGGAACTGAAGTTACTGACCAGATGATTGCAAATCGTTTGCAGGCTGGATTGCACCTGTTGCATCATGAAATGTCAACAAATGGACATGAATTATCTGCTTTGGGCAGGTAACTGACTTGGTACGTGCATGCAATCACATCCCAGTCGCGTAAATTGATGCTCACGACGTCGGTCACTTAAATGTCTGGTTATAAAGCTGTAATACCGCTTAGTCCGCAGTCAGCAACAAACAAACAAAATGCATCCACTCTAAACTTAAGGCGTGAGAGGGGCGGTTGGGTACCCTAGTGGTCACGCCGAAGATTCGGGTTCGATTCACCACAATGCGTGAAACCCATTTCTGGTGATGTTGCTGGAATATTGCTAAAAGCGGCGTACCCCACACTCACCCACTCACTCATTCACTAAATTCGTGAGAACTGATCAAGGTCTACTTAGTGAAACAAGGCTTCTTACCATCTCCGTTTTCTTTTCCCCCAATCCAGTAATTCCGGTCTGGGGATTTAATATTTTGTAAGCTGTCCACCGTCAGGTAATTTGTAAGGCGAAGTCCATTATTCATGCATTCGGCCTTCGCTTCTTCCCATGTCTTCTTGGTATCAGACTCATTCACATTCAGTTCACCGTAAATAGGAAACCCATCAACACCTGAAAACATAATACACATGTTTCTGAAAAACGGTTTGTTTGTTTGTTTGTTTGTTTAACGCCACACTCAGCAATAGTCCAGCTATATGGAGGAGGTCTGTAAATATTCGAGTCTGAACCAGACTTGACCCATGTCATCGGTTCCCAATTGCGCAAATCGATGCTCTTGCTGTTGATCACTGGATTGTCTGGTCCAGACTCGATTATTTACAGACCGCCGCCATATAGTTGGAATATTGCTGCGTAAAACTAAACACGCTCACTCACTGAACAAGACAATTCAGTGACCAACAGCATGAGCATCGATCTACCCAATTAGGATACAATAACATGTGCCAACCAAGTCAGCAAACCTGACCACCCGATCCCGTTAGTCGCCTCTTACGACAAGCATGGGTTGCTGTAGATCAAAGCTAATGCGGATCTTCACGGGTCTCCGAAAAACGGCAAAACCATATGAACACAAGAGACACATCTAGAGTGAGTGAGTTTCGTTTATCGCCGTTTCTAGCAATATCCCAGCAATATCACGACGAGGGACACCAGAAACTGGATTCACACATTGTACCCATGTTACGAATCGAACCCGGGTTTTTGGAAAACGAAGTAATTTAACCACAAGGCTATCCCACCGCCCCTACACTGCTAAGAGCAGAGCCCAATGTACGAATCCGAATTCATATTGAGCATGCGTTTAAGAATCCCTTAGAAATGGTGTGTTCAGTGACGGCACTGGTATGCCCATGTCATCGCTCAATTCTTGAAGTAAGTAGACCATAAATTATCAAATATTTCCTACACAATCAAATATTTCTCTTTCTTTATAAAATGTGAACAAAAGATAAAATTGAACAATAGATTACTTACTCATTAAGTGCAGAAGACTGCAGACTGCAAAACATGTCCTCATGTCAGTCATGATTGTCTCTTGATCTGACTAAAACAGTGTAATCTCGTCTTTAGTCACGTGACTGTAAATCTAACAGCCTAATTGTCGGTTTCAAGTAGGCAGTACTACATTTACATGACCAGCTTTGGTTTGCTCTGCTAAATCATCTATACACTGGTGGGGCTGTATTAGTCTTGTAACATGTTTGTATCTGATGCAATCCCAGCCTCCGGCATTACAGGCCCCGTGAAGATCAGGGTTAGAATTGATCTTCAGTAACCCATGCTTGTCGTAAGAAGCGACTAACGGGATCGGGTGTTCAGGCTCGCTGACTTGGTTGACACATGTCGGCGTATCCAAATTGCACATTTCGAAGCTCATAATGTCGATCACTGGATTGTCTGGTCCAGATTCGATTATGTACAGGCCGTCGCCATATAGCTGGAATATTGCCGAGTACGGCGTAAAACTAAACTCACTCATTCACTCCAGCATTACAGAATATTTTTGAGCGTTGGTATTGTTTGTCAGACTTGGACACGAAATATTACTTTGGGTGATTGATGTTGAGTAATACACACACGCACACGCACACGCACACGCACACGCATGTAAGCATATATCACTTTTGAGTGTTAGTAAAATTTTGTTTGCATGACTTGGACACCAAATGATACTTTGAGTGATTGGTTTGAGTAATACACACACACATTTAAAAATTATATATGCCCGATTTCGGTGTTGTAAATTTAAACTAGCAGTTGAAACTGGTAGATACATTAATGTTGTATATAATAAAAGGCATTGCCTGTTGGTATCTTCGTTGTTGAAGATGAATGGCATGTGTTTTATATCTGTGGTGCATATTCTCATATCAGATATAAGTACATATCAAAATATTTTAGTAAATGTCCATCAATTATTAATTTTATATCTATATTACAGAATAAAAATGTTAATATCATCAAGGATGTATGTCTATTTTTATACTTTGTTGACAGGAAACACAAATCTAAATGAAATACATTATATGTGCTCTAATTACCCATCAATTTATGTATGTGTATTTTGGGCCGCACACGCACGCACTTATGCACACACACGCATATATTAAGTATGTCAAAACATACTGACGAATTTGTGTCACAGCATGTTTATACACAAAAGAAAAAATAGGGGGTACCCGGAAGTAACTCGAAAGTTGACAAATGCACGTGATATTAGTTTCTAGCAATGATTGTATGATATAACAAATTGGGAACACATTATAACCGGTAATTTCACAGAACATGAAGATTTGAAGGATGATAAGTTTATGAATACACAGTCCCAGAAAGTGGTCAAATGTAGCACATGTTATATGTGGGATGACACTTTCTCATTAAATTACAGGTTCTAGTACTTTGTTGGGATGCCGGGTTTCCAACCCACACCCTCAGAGTCAGGCACCTAGCCTGCTAAGCTTGCTTTTATGGTGGGGTTATGATGTCTTACCAATCTCCGTGAACAGTGTGCACTTTTCAGGGAATACTTATGGTCACTTGGTGAATGTATACCTCGCGTACCCAAGGTTGTAGTAAGAGGCGATCGAGTGGTCAGGCTCGCTGACTTGGTTGACACATGTTTTCGTAGATCGATGCTCATGAAGGTGATCCCTAGATTGTCTGGTCCAGATTCGATTATTTACAGACCGCCGTCATATAGCTGGAATATTGCTGAGGGCGGCGTTAAACAACAAACAAACAAACAAACAAACAGATGTATTCCCTTGAGATTCAATAAAACCCAAACAATCTTGTAACTCTAGCTAAATATAATATTTATTCATTCTAAAAGCAATCAGTTTGTTAAAATCTTTCTAAACAGATCAGAATATTTTTGCACAAATATCTATTTTCCAAAATATACATTTATTCTCAAAGTGTACATGCAACGTTAACGCTGAAAAATGTTTCTTCAGACTAACGTCAATGACCGTATGGATCGAGTGAAAACTAACTGGAACCGACCCGAAAAGTTAATATTTCCACGATTCCGTCTTGACCTTTCGTCACGACCAATCAATCTAAGAAGACGCTTGTTAGTACTTGACAAGTTTCTATATGCATGCATGGAAGTCTACACGTCTTGCGCTACTTCATCCGAGATGTTGTTACTACAATCATGAAGTTGTTTTATCTTAACAAGCAAAAAGTTATATTTTACGTCAAAGGTGTCACACACAAAATCAAAAACAAAAGCATCTAATCTTTCAAACAGTTTCAGGAAATATGTTTAAAAAACCTCTCCTAAAACCAGGGAATACGTATATTTCCTGAAAATTTTAGGTATTATGTACATTCCCTGAGTGAATCAGACATTACACATATTACCTGAAATTTTCAGGGATTATGCACATTCCCTGATTATACATATTCCCTGTAACATATATATGTCTATATTATTGCCGTCTTGAACTAAGACCATTGTCGATTTTGATGGACAAGTAGCAAAAACAATTTTTTTTTTAATTTTTGGAAGGTGATATATATTCTTTCAAAACAATTGATATTCCACTTAATGCAGTGATATGATATGAAGTACGTCACATGTTTCACAACAAAAACAGACAAAAAAGTCATGTAATTTATGAAAAAACACTACACATATTGTATGTTATCATTGACTGCTGCGGGTAACGTCATGGAATCACAGATTCTATATCACAATGATCGCTGGAAACAACAACGTATGTACATAACAACATCAATACTGACGCCTGATATAGCCAGATGTGCCTATTCTCTATATTATCACGTTGTTATAAATACAACAAGATTACATTACTCATTCTTGTACATAATGGTACATATAAGTGTTTCTGTGAGAGAATGGGTTTTATGGCGTCTTCAAGTGATACTTGTGAATGGCGATGAGAAGCCAAGGATATTGACAAGAGATTCGAGTGAGCGAGTGAGTTTAGTTTGGCACCGCACTCAGCAATATTCCAGCTATATGGCGGCGGTCGGTAAATACACGAGTCTGGACCAGACAATCCAGTGATCGACAGCATGAGCATCGATTTACGCAATTGGGATACGATGACATGTGTCAACTAAATCAGCGAGCCTGATCATCCGATCCCGTTAGTCGCCTCTTACAACAAGCTTGGGTTACAAAAGATCAATTCTAACCCGGATCTTCACAGGTCAAGCGATTCGAACCTATATCGACATGACTCAGATATGCAGTTCAGGTAGAGCGAACTGACCGTCTACGATCACTGAGAGACTCATACCGGCATGCTACTCCACCCCCACCTCAACCCCAACTCCCAAACCCCAACCTCCAACCCACCCCTACCCTGTTATATACCCTATCCACAACTACACTGTACATTCACATACATTATGATAATTTCAGATAACATCGATCATCATCTAAGCAAGTGTTATCAACAATGAAGTGTTATCTGGGAGCTGATGTTATTTAACCTTGACAAAACTATGAACGACATGGCACGCAAGTACTGAAATAAGAAAATAAGCTGAATAATTGGCGATAAATTCTCAACGGGAATCTACTGACATTGTAACAAAATGGGAATTCCGAGAAGTGCATAATTGATGAATCAATCAAGGTTGATATTGGTGTTTATCTTTTACGCACAGAAGACATGGTAACATAAAAACAAATGGCTAATAAAACACTTAGCACATCAAGGTGACCTGTATAGGGAAGTATATAAAATCAATAGAAATAAACATAAGACACAACTTTTTTAATCAGTTCGGTGACCAGTTTCATGCCGGCTTGACCCTGTTTCCCGAAGGCAAATGTTTGATTCAGTTGTGCAGTTGTGTAACGTGATGATATACATACATAAGTTGAGTTAGTGAGTTAGTTTTAACGCCTCTTTGAACATCATTCCAGTTATGTCATGACGTCACAAGTACATAAATCTCTCTCAGCGTGTATATATGCCAATGTATGGGGTCCTAGTAACTCTCGTATCGTTTTCCTGGGAAATCGTGAATAATGTAGAAATGATAATCCAGAATGATGGTGGATGCCTTTTGAACTTAACTCGATTTCAAATAATACGGTTCTGTGATAATGAATCTACTTGCAATGTTCATGCGCTTAACTGCATGTCTTGATAAGAGCAAGCTCAAAATATAAATTACCAAGTCAACCACGTCTTCTAGTGAGCAAGACCATACAATTACCACAGCATCAAAACGTCCAACTACAAGTCTCAAACAGCTGACCACTAGTCGTCTATAGCAACGTGTACTTGTGCCATGACGATTGTGCCTAAGTTGTTAATGCCAATGGGAGATGGTTCTAATGGCACTTACATGCTCTAATTACACATAATCATTTACTATCTCTTCTCCAACTGCTACCGATGCAAAGTCTATAGGATCACATCAAGTTAGAGAATGCTTTTCAACGCAATCAGGTTTAATTACGCTCACTAACATCCTTCCCTAGACCTCGAATGTGGCATCGCGTTCACAAGTATCACACAGAACGGGTCATCTGGAAACTGTAGTAAATCAACGCCATCAGTGGATATGGTTCCCAGTCCCTGCTCATGTGTGAGCATTCACTTGAATTTCTCTCCTGGTGCAGGAAGAAGATCACAGATTTAGATCTCGCCCGAGACATTCGATCTCATCCAGCAAGAAGTCCAGGTCACGTGTGCTAACGGCCATGTTGGAAATGGCGACCCGGAAGAAGTTTGGCATCGTGTTTAACGGTTGATATTGGACCATCACTGTTCCGGATTCCATCATCCGTGCTTTTATGGCTGGTGCAACCTGGAAGGAGGAAGAGGTGTTTAATAACTATCAACAGAACGTGTACATTTCATACTACTCGTAGTTGTTGTGTATGATAGGGCAAAAAAATGGTACAGCATTTGTGTGAGAACTTGTCACTATAACGAGTGAGTGAGTATGGTTTTACGCCGCTTTTAGCAATGTCCCAACAATATCACAGTGGGGAACACAGGGCTTCTCACATTGTACCCATGTGGGGAATCGAACCCGGGTCTTCGGCGTGACGAGCAAACGCTTTAACCACTAGGCTACCCCACCGCCAAGAACACCAGCGCCTACACTGCTTTGCACCGTGACGACGCCATTATGTTATCAAGTGGCAATAAGTCTAGCACATGTGCGGTGATATCGTATTAATATTTACAATAAAAAAATAAAACGCTAAGTAGGGCTGATAACACAATGCCATTTAGAAAGTGGTCAAATGTAACATATGTTATATTTGGGATTACACTTTCACTTTCTAAGTGTAAGTAGGGCTGGCTAAAATAATCCGAAATATCGTCGATAGGAAAAATGATTAATGATTATCAATATGAACATTGTGTTATCTATAATATCGCATATTACATTTTGTGATAGAATTATTTTTTATTATTTTCACACACAATATACAAATTTAGGACTTTATCCATTTATTCACGACTAGTCTGTCTCACAGTCCCTGAACCACATTATTTTCCCTACTGCCAAGCCCTCCCTTCAGTGCTGAAGCCCTAAATAAAGCAAGTCTAGATTTGAATCTCTGGTCTCCCTAGGGCTCCTTTTCAATATAAATGGGCTTGTTTGTTACTATCAAAATTATATATATTCAGAGACTAAGCCTTAGTCTAATTCACGACCTGCTTCTAAATTATGTTTTGTTAATAATCCATGCAACAACATAACATTCACCAGTGATTTGAAATATGTTAATTTCTTTAAGGCATTTTTTCTCAAAGTTAGGTCTCCGATATTTATCGATAATCGATACATATTTAGCCAATGATTATTGATCTCAATTGTCTATATGGATAGCCAGCCCTAACTCTAAGTCGATTTACGATTCGGACTATACCAGGATACTGTATTATAGTATATGTATGAACCACTATCAAGAGGGATGACACCAGGACCAGCTGTTCGCAAAATGGTGAGCGTAATAGCAGACTCAGTATTTTTTATACTATAAATATATAGGCTACAATGTACACATCTATAATAGGGAACTACATTGGATATCAAATTTGAAAAATGTCATCTACATGTGTAACCACTACGCGTGAAGATCCGGGTTAGAATTGGTCATCAACTAACGGGATCGGGTGGCCAGGCTCGCTTACTTGGTTGACACATGTCATCGTATACCAATTGTGTAGATCGATGCTCATGCAGCCGATCACTGGATTGTCTGGTTCAGGCACGATTATTTACAGACCGCCGCCATATAGCTGTAATATTGCTGACTGCGGCGTAAAACTAAACTCACTCGCCCTATTAGATATGCATTAGCGCTCATTTCATTAAGGAAGGAAGAAATTCTACAAATTAGCATAAATGTTCAAATGCAGAGCACCTCGGGTTCGATTCCCACTTGGACACAATGTGTGAAGCCCATTTCAGATATCCCCTTCGGTGATATTGCTGGATCATTGCTAAATTGGCGTAAAATCCAACTCACTCACTCACTCAAATGCACAGGGAAATAATAATACTATGGACACATGTCATCGTATCCCAGTTGCGTAAATCAATGTTCATGCTGTTGATCACTAGATTGTCTGGTCCAGACTCGATTATTTACCAATCACTTTTTATTTATTTTATTTTGCCAATCCGAGCAGCAGTTCCAGTTAATAAAGAAACAAATCTACAAGTGGAACTCTTAGTGTCCATGCGATGTCTACTTCCTGTCTAAATGTCTTAACCCCACAAGTTACATAGATGTTTTCAAAGAAGAGGTCATTCTGAAAAATGCCTTGAAGCTCTAAAGATAGATACAGCAAACGGAATACTGTTAGTAATATAATGGTACAAATGCCAATCAGTTTTCAAACGTGAAAGGAACATGTTACCTTATGGAGATCCTCATCAGGTATTTCCTCTCGTTTTAAGGATCGCCATTTTTGTGGGATATACCAGAAACACACATTAGGTCCTTCAATCTGGAAGGGAATACAATTCATATTTATGTGTATGAACATGTATTCATATTAAGTTACAGAACCACTTCCCGATCACAATCATCAGGGTCGTACATTGAGACAAACAATTGAGACTATAGTCTTGGGGGCCCTTCTTGACACATGCCTCCGCACTAGGATATAGATATAATATCTATCGATCGCTACATATATATTTATTAATTTGTAAAATGTAAAATATGTCGATGAAACTTAATGACGCTAACAATTTACAAAATATGATCACATTATATATTATTTGTTCTAAATTTAAACGATGTTTACCTCGTCAAGGATAAGGTGGAAGCCTTCCCTGTCTTTCACTTTCCCAAGAAGATATCTGTTATTTGAAATAAAAGGTCAGCCCATTAGAAACATTGCGTACATCTTGACTAAACAAGTCGTCAAACAATATATGAGTATAATGAATACCCCTGTTGACTTTCAATAATTAAAACGAATCATGACATAAAATAACGACACGGAAATTTTGTAGAAACGACACAGAAATTGTTTCGAAAAAGAGATATTCCATTGTCATAGCATATGGCAACCAGTAGCAATAAAACCAAAATACACAAACTAACAGTTGTGTTGTTGGCGATATTGTGTATGAACCGTCACAAAATATACATGTATAGATAAAATGTGTGAGTGGGTGAGTGAGTTTTAGTTTTACGCCGCTTTTAACAATATTTAAGCAATATCTCGGCAGGGGACCGCAGAAATGGGGTTTCACACATTGTGCTCACGTGAACAATCGAACCCGGGTTTTCGGCGTGACGAGCAACGCTTTAACCACTAGGCTACCCCAACGCCCAAGATATAATGTGTACATGTGTGTACCTTATAGCCATGTACAGAATCGTGCATCGATCACACATGCAAGTGATTGATATCATAACCCAGAGTGGGTAGGGGTCACTCTCTGGTGTTTGTTGCACGTGTGCACAGTAGTTCTATGTGCAATCGGGGCGGTGGGAAGCAATGTGTGAAGCAAATTTCTGGTGTCCCCCGCCGTGATATGACTGCAATATGCTAAAAGCGGCGTAAAACTAAACTCACTAACTCTATGGGCGATCAGGAAAACGGAACATATGAGTTACCTCATAGCACGGGCTCGAACCAGGAAGTAGAATTTACCATATGATCTGGCCACTCCACTGTATATTATCTGGTGTATCCGCTACGATATAGCTGGAATATTGCCAAAAGGCGCGCAGAATTCACTCACTCTAATGATATTTATCGAGGCCTGACATGGAAGTAAATTTCCTGAAGTGACATCACATGAAGTTATGGAGTTAGTGAGTGAGTTTAGTTGCAGCAATTTTCCAGCTATATGGCACTGTAAATATTCGAGTCTGGACCAGACAATCCTGAGATCAACATCATGAGCATCGTTCTACGCAACTGGGATACATGACATGTGTTAGCCAAGTCAGCGAGCCTGACCAGCCGATCCCGTTAGTCGCCTCTTACGACAAGCATGGGTTACTGAAGATCAGTTCTAACACAGATCTTTTGTCTACAAATATTGAGTCAACTGAGGCAGAAAACTATCGTCATACAGGTAGTCAGTTTACTAAAAAAAAAGTAAAATTGTTGTACTTACTTTGCTAGCTCAAAGTTACGATCCATTTGATCCTCAAACCCTTCATCACCCTGTGAAATATTTAAAACCATAACTGCTGAAGACATCATCAACAATATAATATCATCAGAACATAATATCATCATAAACAGTACAAAGACGTTGACTGAAATTCAGATGTTTCCTGCATTTCCCTTGATTGGACATCTTAGAAAGAGTCAAAGATGTTTTGGATATCAGCTTCTTTATTAATTTTGTTAAACTCGACCTTTTGGAGTTAATTTTTACTCCTTCTTGACACGACGTTTCGGAATAAATTCTTATTCTTTCTTCACGGGAAGAATTAACAGCGAAACGTCGTGTTTAACAAATAAAGAAGTTGAATCCCCAAAGTCTTTGAATTATGTTCGTCACTTGCCATTGAAGAAACCTTAGTGTCGTGATAAAGATCCAATTGTGACTCTACCTGGACACGAGCTACTAATAATTTTTTTACCCCATGTGACTTTGCTTTATAATCCTTCTCATTTGTTACATTTCATTTTGACGAAATTCACTATGCTTTTACTAAGTTGTAGTAAAATGATTGTTCTTGCGAAATAAATAATCATTTTGATATGGGTTGTCTTGGTTATTCTTCAAGGTTATTTTGAAAACGTTGTAAACTTTCTTTTGGACATTAGTATAGAAACAATTACCAATCCGCCCTCACAAAGCTTTATGTCGAAAGCATTGAACTGAACAAAATTGGACATTATTGAATCACATGACATTCAAGTTTCCTTTTTTTCACGTTACGTTTTATGTGAACTCATGATGCGGAAGTGTAACATGTGAGCTGTTTTGTTTCATTGCGTGCATGTTTAACACCGTTAATAATGCATTGTGTATGCAAGCTGCTTCAGTTCACTAATATATCACGTTTGGCAATAATTATCAATAAAATATGTAATTTGGGACATGAATATAATTTTCTCTTTTCGCTCGTTGTGTTTTTTTATTCTTCATTCCGGACGGAGATGTTAACCAAGTTCACTTTCGGTTGTATCGAATATCGGATAAGTAAGTCGACTCATCCTCCATACAACGGTTTTTGACTGTAGACGTAATGGTGACGACACTACCAGTGCCTTCACATCACCTTGTCTACTGCTGTGAAATGCTGATAGAAGTCAACACGGTAATCAATGCAATAACGAACGTGACACCACTGGCATCACGGGGTCTTCACGAAGACACCCACATACATTCGTGGTTCGATAAAAATGCATTGCCGGCTGAAGAGTGAAGAGTGTTCTAACGGGACAATTATGTTACAACCAATGTTAAAATACGCATTTGTTATCTAATTCACTCTATATGACGATTTTACTTCCTGAACCAACTGCTCGACCTGTTCAGGAAGAAATCCCTTCCATCAAGATGCACATATTCGTCAAATATGTCAATAGTTCCTTCTTTAAGGGTCGACCAGGCACTTCCAAACATGTAGTGTGTCATCAATACGGCGATTAGATTATAAAAAGTCAGCAGAAATTGTTTTGGAACACACAAAAATGCCATGCCAATTATCTTCAACAAACATCAGGAGGGTTCTACAAGCAATGATATAGCAGCTTCGGCGATCTTGACTTGAGCTTGGACAAATGAAATTTAACCAGGATACGTTGCAATCAATCTAGTGAGAGGCAGTGTCACATCATTGTCAGCAAAGATATGAGAGATTTACTTTATTGATAGCATAATAAATTGATTATTATTCCGATATGATCTATTCCCCTCATTCCAGGACACCAGCGTACCTTGGATCTCCACATGAGCCAAAGTTTGAAGATGTCGTTGTGTCGGCCACACTGAACAGTCTTGTCACCAGTGTCGTAGCTCACATCATACAGCTTGTCCTTTTGAAACAGGTACGCCGCATTGGATTGGTTGGCAGCGAGAAGAAGACCCTGCAAGTCACAGTAAGATGGCATGATCCTGTTATATAAAATTACAGATTCAACGATCATGGAGAGAAGTCTTTCAGTTTATCAAATATTGTCCATAACGTTATTTGCTTCTTATTCTAGGTTGTATTGATAAGATCATATACCTTGTGTCTAGTCAATGGGAGTATGAGGGCTTCATTGTATCGAGTCAATGAGAGTATGAGTGTTAGATTGTGTCTAGTCAATGTGATTATGAGGCTACATTGTGTCGTGTCAATGTGAGTATGAATGTGAGAATGTGTCTAGTCAATGGGAGTATGAGGGCTTCATTGTGTCCAGTCAATGACAGTATAAATGCAAGATTGTGAATAGTCAATGGGAGTATGAGGCTACATTGTGTCGAGTCAATGTGAGTATCAATGTGAGTGTATATGAATGTGAGATTGTGTCTAGTCAATAGGAGTATGAGGCTACATTGTGTCGAGTCAATGACAGTATGAAGCTACATTGTGCCGAGTTAATGACAGTATAAATCGAGTCAAGATTGTGAATAGTCAAATGAATGGAATTGTGTATATGAGGGCTACATTGTGTCGAGTCAATGACAGTATGAATGTGAGTATAGTCAATAGGAGGGCTACATTGTGTCGAGTCAATGGGAGTATGAGGGCTACATGTCGAGTCAATGACAGTATGAGTCAATTGTGTCGAGTCAATGGGAGTATGAGGGGCTACATTGTGTCTAGTCAATGGGAGTATGAGGGCTACATTGTGTCGAGTCAATGGGAGTATGAGGGCTACATTGTGTCACAGTCAATGAGTTAATGTGAGTAGGAGAGGGCTTACATTGTGTGTATAGTCAATGTCAATGGGGAGTATGAGGGCTACATTGTGTCGAGTCAATGGGAGTATGAGGGCTACATTGTGTCGAGTCAATGGGAGTATGAATGTGAGATTGTGTATAGTCAATGGGAGTATGAGGGCTACATTGTGTCAAGTCAATGGGAGTATGAGGGCTACATTGTGTATAGTCAATGGGAGTATGAGTCTAATGGGAGTATGTGAGTCAGTCATGACAGTATGAATGTGAGATTGTGTATAGTCAATGGGAGTATGAGGGCTACATTGTGTCGAGTCAATGGGAGTATGAATTGTGTCTAGTCAATGGGAGTATGAGGGCTACATTGTGTCGAGTCAATGACAGTATGAATGTGAGATTGTGTATAGTCAATAGGAGTATGAGGCTACATTGTGTCTAGTCAATGGGAGTATGAGGGCTACATTGTGTCGAGTCAATGACAGTATGAGTGTTAGATTGTGTCGAGTCAATGGGAGTATGAGGGCTACATTGTGTACAGTCAATGAGAGTATATGTGTTACATTGTGTCAAGTCAGTGGGAGTATGAGGGCTACATTGTGTACAGTCAATGAGAGTATGAGGGCTACATTCTCCACAGTCAATGAGAGTATGAATGTTATATTGTGTCTAGAGAAGGAGAGTATGAATGTTATATTGTGTACAGTCAATGAGAGTATGAAGTTACATTGTGACGAGTCAATGTTACATTGTGTACATTGTGAAGAGAGTATGAATGTTATATTGTGTATAGTCAATGAGAGTATGAATGTTATATTGTGTACAGTCAATGAGAGTATGAATGTTATATTGTGTACAGTCAATGAGAGTATGAATGTTATATTGTGTACAGTCAATGAGAGTATGAATGTTACATTGTGTACAGTCAATGGGAGTACATTGTGTAGTCAATGTTATGAATATTGTGTACAGTCAATGAGGGTATGATAGTTATATTGTGTACAGTCAATGAGAGTATGAATGTTACATTGTGTACAGTCAATGAGAGTATCAAAGTTACATTGTGTACAGTCAATGAGAGTATGAATGTTATATTGTGTACAGTCAATGAGAGTATCAAAGTTACATTGTGTACAGTCAATGAGAGTATGAATGTTATATTGTGTACAGTCAATGAGAGTATCAAAGTTACATTGTGTACAGACAATGAGTGTATCAATATTACATTGTGTACAGTCAATGAGAAGTATGAATGTTACATTGTGTACAGTCAATGAGAGTATAGAATGTTACATTGTGTACAGTCAATGAGAGTATGAATGTTATATTGTGTACAGTCAATGAGAATTATGAATGTTATATTGTGTACAGTCAATGAGAGTATGAATGTTACATTGTGTACAGTCAATGAGAGTATCAAATGTTACATTGTGTACAGTCAATGAGAGTATGAATGTTACATTGTGTACAGTCAATGAGAGTATGAATGTTACATTGTGTACAGTCAATGAGAGTATGAATGTTATATTGTGTACAGTCAATGAGAGAGTATGAATGTTATATTGTGTACAGTTATGAATGTTGTGTACAGTCAATGAGAGTATGAATGTTACATTGTGTACAGTCAATGGGAGTATAAATGTTACATTGTGTACAGTCAATGGGAAGTATCAACAGTTACATTGTGTACAGTCAATGAGAGTATGAATACAATGAATGTTATCAATTATAAATGTTATATCAATGGGAGTATGAGAGTTACATTGTGTACAGTCAATGAGAGTATGAGTGTTACATTGTGTACAGTCAATGAGAGTATGAATGTTACATTGTGTACAGTCAATGAGAGTATGAATGTTATATTGTGTACAGTCAATGAGAGTATGAATGTTATATTGTGTACAGTCAATGAGAGTATGAATGTTACATTGTGTACAGTCAATGAGAGTATGAATGTTACATTGTGTACAGTCAATGAGAGTATGAATGTTACATTGTGTACAGTCAATTAGGGTATGAATGTTATATTGTGTACAGTCAATGAGGGTATGAATGTTACATTGTGTACAGTCAATGAGAGTATGAATGTTACATTGTGTACAGTCAATTAGGGTATGAATGTTATATTGTGTACAGTCAATTAGAGTATGAATGTTATATTGTGTACAGTCAATTACAGTCAGGGTATCAACGTTATATTGTGTACAGTCAATGAGAGAAATGGGCTTGTACAGTCAATGAGAGTATGAATGTTATATTGTGTACAGTCAATGACAGTATGAAGTATCAATGTATGAATGTTATATTGTGTACAGTCAATGAGAGTATGAATGTTATATTGTGTACAGTCAATGAGAACATGAATGTTATATTGTGTACAGTCAATGAGAGTATGAATGTTATATTGTGTACAGTCAATGAGAGTATGAATGTTATATTGTGTACAGTCAATGAGAGTATGAATGTTATATTGTGTACAGTCAATGAGAGTATGAATGTTATATTGTGTACAGTCAATGAGAGTATCAAAGTTACATTGTGTACAGTCAATGAGAGTATGAATGTTATATTGTGTACAGTCAATGAGAGTATGAATGTTACATTGTGTACAGTTATGAATGTTACATTGTGTACAGAGTATGAATGTTATATTGTGTACAGTCAATGAGAGTATGAATGTTATATTGTGTACAGTCAATGAGTACAGTATGAGTATGAATGTTATATTGTGTACAGTCAATGAGAGTATGAATGTTATATTGTGTACAGTCAATGAGAGTATGAATGTTATATTGTGTACAGTCAATGAGAGTATGAATGTTACATTGTGTACAGTCAATGAGAGTATGAATGTTACATTGTGTACAGTCAATGAGAGTATGAATGTTACATTGTGTACAGTCAATGAGAGTATGAATGTTATATTGTGTACAGTCAATGAGAACATGAATGTTATATTGTGTACAGTCAATGAGAGTATGAATGTTATATTGTGTACAGTCAATGAGAGTATGAATGTTATATTGTGTACAGTCAATGAGAGTAGTGAGTGAGTTATATTGTGTACAGTCAATGAGAGTATGAATGTTATATTGTGTACAGTCAATGAGAAGTATGAATGTTATATTGTGTACAGTCAATGAGAAGTATGAATGTTATATTGTGTACAGTCAATGAAGAACAGTTAACCAGGTAGATGTTGTTATATTGTGTACAGTCAATGAGAGTATGAATGTTATATTGTGTACAGTCAATGAGAGTATGAATGTTATATTGTGTACAGTCAATGAGAACATGAATGAATACAGTCAATGATATGAGTATGAATGTTATATTGTGTAAAGTCAATGAGAGTATGAATGTTATATTGTGTACAGTCAATGAGAGTATGAATGTTATATTGTGTACAGTAAATGAGAGGATGGATGTTATATTGTGTACAGTCAATGGGAGTATATAAGTTACACTGTGTACAGGCAATGAGAGTTTAAATGTTATATTTTGTACAGTCAATGAGATTATGAATGTTACATTGTGTACAGTGAATGAGAGTATGAATGTTATATTGTGTACAGTCAATGAGAGTATGAATGTTATATTGTGTACAGTCAATGAGAGTATAAATGTTATATTTTTTACAGTCAATGAGGGTATTAATGTTATATTGTGTACAGTCAATGAGAACATGTTATATTGTGTACAGTCAATGAGAGTATGAATGTTATATTTTGTACAGTCAATGAGAGTATGAATGTTATATTGTGTACAGTGAATGAGAGTATGAATGTTATATTTTGTACAGTCAATGAGAACATGGGTTATATTGTGTACAGTCAATAATGCTATGAATGTTATATTGTGTACAGTCAATGTGAATATTAATATTATATTGTGTACAGTCAATGAGAGTATGAATGTTATATTTGTGTACAGTCAATGAGAGTATGAATGTTATATTGTGTACAGTCAATGAGAGTATGAATGTTATATTTTGTACAGTCAATGAGAGTATGAATGTTATATTGTGTACAGTCAATGAGAGTATGAATGTTATATTGTGTACAGTCAATGAGAGTATGAATGTTATATTGTGTACAGTCAATGAGCGTGTGAGTGTTACACTGTGTACAGTCAATAAGAGTATGAGTATGTACCCATGTGGGGAATTGAACCCGGGTCTTCGGCCTGACGAGGGAACGCTTTAACCACAAGGCTACCCCACCGTCCTTCCTAGCTAGTGATTGTACGGGTATTTGATAGTGTCTAGGAAATGACTGTATGAGTTGCATTGTGTGGATCTAATGAGTATATGGGCGTCTAGTCAATGTGTATATGTTACATGCTGTTATCAATCAATATATGAGGGTTACTATGTTATTCGTCAATGGGAGTATGCGTATATGATTTTATATATGGTACCTTGTGCTTCGTGAGAATGGCTGAGCATTGGAGGGGTACACCCATCATCTTGTGTGGATTCCATGTCAATGAGTCAGCTCTGCAACAGACAAAGCAACGTCAACATAGTAATTTGTGTTACACAAAGTCACACTTAAATTCCATGACTGATAGTGTTTACCCAAGGTATTTTAGGCAAGCACATCGACCTGCCCCTGTTATTTGGCGCCCTGCCCTGTTATTATTATCTTTTTAACACAAGAATTGATTTCTTTTAGTTTCTATTTCATGTTGAAGTTAAGTGAAATAGCTATGCTCTTTGAGTCTTAATACTTGGAAATCTGTCATTGCATGCCATTTTAAGGTTGGGGGTGCCCTTTTTAAACTTCTTTGCCTTGCCCATTATGGATCCTGGTTGAAACACTACCTGAATACACTGTACACACGCTAAATAGTCCGATAACATACAAAACATTTTTTAAATAAAATGAAATAAACAAAATGGAAATGATAAAAACCGGTGTCACAATGACACCCGCTGCTAGCGTTGCACATGTCGTGTGATCAACTACAAAATAGCCTTAAAACATGTTCACCGACGAGTATGTCTTCGACCCAGCAATAGACGCGTGGGTGTACTGTAATATTACATTCCATATACACTGTAGTATATATATAAATTTTGTGTCTGTTGAAATTGAATATTTTTCACCATGTCATACGTCAATCAATAAAATAAGCGCGGTGTTTGGTAAATCACAGACTGAAAAAGCAGGAAGTTGGGAATCGATTCGACGGAAGCTTTCCCATCTATTATTTCCATGTTTTTAACGCCAAAAATGTAGTCACTGACGTAGGTGAAGGGTAAAAAGCCACCATTGATATAAGGTTAATTCAGCCATTCCCCTTCGACAGCTGATTCGATCTCAGGCTGTATTATTCAATTTTCTTCACAGATTCCACAACCACCTGTCTCCCGGATGATAAAGTACTGCATAATTTTCTCAGGAGCGGGGGATCATTACTTTTCTATCGGGGAAATCTCCTGTGTCACCGTTTTTCAATTGTTTAAGTCCACACAAGTGATTGTGCGGCAGAGAAGTCCAAACACGGCCCCCCTCGTCGTGAAAGAGGTTAGGGAAAGGATCGGAGGCATATTCCGCTCTGGAGAGGGTATCGATTACACCCGTATCGATCACGATTTAATCTGTTGCCAGATAGAGAGCTGATTGCATGAGAAGCAAATATGGACCCGTGGAGTCATAATAACGAGCTGTGATTCTAACTATAGTTATGAAGGGGCTAATTGCTATACAGTTCATTGTATGGAGTTATTGCAATGGATTCACATAAAATTGTGATATATGAGTCCAAAATAATTCTAGTAGTTTTATATGCACGGTTTTATAACGTGCGGAGCTATTGTGTAATATCCATTATTGTCGAGCGACTTTCCTCCAGTAATGATAATGCTGCTAATGTGTTCTGAAGGAACATTTAATGCCTGGATTCTGAGCTTTGCTTTGCTTTTTATCAAACGTACTCTTTCAGTTTCAGCTTATCCTAAACATGTATCAATCATTATACAATTTAGTCCACCGCTCAAAATTGTAAACATGCTCTTTCCTAAAATGTCAAGTGAATTAATATCATGTTGCTTCCTAGCAATCTGAACCTGTGTATAGAGAAGCTTCCATTTAGATCAAACCGGTTCTGTCAACGTCGTTTGTTAGTGCAGATCATATCTGTTAAAGTGAACCTGCTATCTCTAAACTAAACATGAACGTCCACAAGTTCTACACATGTCCTGATTATTGGGGAAAAGGATGCCGATAATTGGAAATAGTCCCGACGTAATCTTGCAAACATATTGTCCAGAAATGGACCTGTCTCTGAAAGGCAACATCCAATATAAAAGTGAGATGAAAGTATTAGCTTCTCAATTTAGTCGGTTACTGTTTCTGTCCACTTCCTATAGCTAAAGTGTTGTAAACAGTGACTCTTAATTTTAAATTTGTTCCTACAATTTGCGTTTTGCTCAGATTTAAGATTGGAATCGAAAACAGCTTTCGATGGTGATTTGTAAGCAATAGTGGTTTTCCAGATTTGTGCCCAGAAGAATATGCTTTAAAAATGAGTGGCAGCAGCCTTGAAACAACCGTTGATGTAAAGCACGCAATATTTGACCTTAGAGATGTTTTGAATCAATGGCGAGTTCCTGAAGGACACGAAACTACTGTTCACATTAGTAATAGACATGAAGGATGTTAAAGACGACATCATAGACACCTATTGATCTGGAACACATCGAGAACAGCTGTGATTTCTACGTCAGAGGCGGCGGTGTCATTTCGACAACGATGTATATCGATATATGATCGTCTTTCATATTTACTGACCTGTTACATGTAATGTCAATGTTTCAGGAGAAAGAATTAGCTCTGATAAAGAATAGGAAGAAGCTGTTGTCCATAAAAAGTGTCATGCATTTATGAAAAGAGTGTTAGACTGTGTGTATAGTGCCAGACCGAGGGTACTTACCAAAGACAAAAAGGTACTAAAATGTATCTCTTACAAATAAAACCGAAAAGTTGGATGCTACTGTCGTCCTCTACATCATAGGGGAGATTAATGTCCTACCTGTGTGCGCCCTGTAGAAGATGTCTGTGTTTGCGAGAAAGCAAAGCCGATCCTCCCCATGCTGCCTGAAAAAGGAGGATCCAAGCAAAAAGTAGTGATTGTATGATGTTTGTAATCAGAACAGGATAGACTTTACTACAGCCTATTACGCCTGATGAGGCCTGGTGCAAAAGATCAACAGTAAACCCAAAGGACATTCTCCCTTAGGTTTTCATTTGCAATATGGTAGCCACGCAGCAGCCACAATCTTCCCGATGCAATGTCTTGTTGAAGGGTAGAGGAATCTACCGACCCATATTTTCAAGAATTATGAAGTTGTTAGCTGAAAAGTTCTGAGCCTAATTAATACCAGTACACCCACAGCAGTTTTAATCTACAAGTCCAATACTCGCCATGTTTACAGGCTGCATTTGAACCCCTTGCGGTATCAAAGCAACTCGGTATTCTCTGTTGATGAAAATATTGGCAATAGGATGGGCTATTTGTTATGTTATCAGATATCTCCAGTTGAAAGGAAGACCTCCAATAGTCATCCACGCGGACATTGTGCCAACTATAGGGGATCCGGTTCCTCCCTTTGCCACTCTTTAGAAGATGGCAGGGGTTCGGAAGGGGAAGAGAGAGACCAGAAGAATAGTCACCTGCCCTCACAAAGGAATGTGTTGTTACAAGTGATATGACTTTGGATCAGCCAATACATTCGGCATCGTGAGGGAGCACATTTTGAAAACAGAAGCATTCATGAAGAAGGTTTCTGCGGATTCATGATCAGAAACTCTCCAGATGCATCATGTTACGTATTACTGTACAGAAGCGTCTTATCAGCCAGCCACTGTCTGACACAGTCTAGCAACTCTCAAAACAGTTGAAACATCGAACTTCTCAGCAGAAGATAGCAAAGTCTGTTCCATGAACTGGTAGTTTCAGATTTCTGGAATTTCAATGAAATCCTGCCGTTCGACTGCCTGCTGAATGACCAGACAATTAATGGTCAATATTGTGGCATTGCTAATCTGTTCTGCTCGGCAACTGCATGTAAAGCGACACAGCGGAAAGTAACTGAGCGAGTGTGATTCGTTGGTGATGACGCCATTTCTGTTGTTGACGACTTTTTATACCCTTGAGGACGCCTTGAAGATGTGTAGGGCGGAACGGAGTTTGATGAAACACAGTTAAGGGCAGACTTCATCAACTCCAATTTGGTTTGGCTCAGAACCTTTCAACCACGCTTCATAACATGAATATTTTGAGAAATGTTTACTTTCCTATCGAGATCGTCAGCTAATTTCCATTATACATAAATCTTCAAATAATATCATGACAGAAACAGAACATATCTTCCAACTAATTTTTAAAACAATATCAGCGAGTACATTTCTTTAAATGACTTTGTATACAAGGCGTTGTATTTCAAATAATTAGGGCAGACAAAGGGTGATGAAAACACTTTAGGCATTGCAAAGGTCTATTCCGTTCTGTCAGTTCTTTTTAGAAATGACAACGATTTAACACTAAAGCGAGAAGCACATTTCATTTGTTTTCGTTTCGTATCAAATAAAATATACAACTGTGTTGTAATATTTAGACAGGTGTCTTGTGTTTTCAATATAATCCCAAAGGTCCTCACATCGATGTGCAACCACATTTCATATTTTTCACAAATGTCCGCAATTGCTTCCACCGGGTCATAAGCTCCAAACACAGTTGTCCCACAAGTTGCGTTGACAAGCATAGGTCTCTTGCCATCCTGTTTGGCCAAGTTGATCTTCTTTTCCAGGTCTTCAATGATCATCTTACCCCTGTGAAAATATTGAAATCCAATACAGACAGTGCAAAACGACGTTTATAAATCGTCACAAAGTAATAATTAATTGTCTATGTCACCGTCATATAAGAACAATTGTAAACCAAAAGTCACTGTGTTCTTTAATCTGATTGGTTGAAAAAGGTGATCAAATGGTATTCGATTCCCGGAAATGCGTTGCATATTAACACATACAAATATCGCTCTCTTCATTGTATTGTTACGTCGTCAGCTGTGATGACGTCATTAAAATCATATTGTGACGTAAAGTCCAAATGACGTCACAAATGAGCAGTTCCAGATGCTACCATGCGAGAGAGCCGAAACGGCCGGCTGATGACATTTCGCTGCTGTGCCCGTACTCGATGTCAATGAGTGCAGACACAAAAACGTGTGTGGACCTTTTGGTTTACTTTTGTGTTTACAATGTCGATAAAGATCATGTGTTGGCCAATTTCCGGGTGTTATTGTGTATTTGAAGCACGGGAATTCATTTGGAACCGACGGCGTCACGTTTATCTCCTAAGTAGCGAAAGAAGTGTGTGATGTGTCATTTGTTTGATCCAGCTGCTGAAAAAATGAATGAATCACATTTGTGTACAATGAGCATTTAACCATAAATCAAAATAAATCGCAATTACAGTATCAAAATAATTACAGTGTCAATTATATATTCACCTGTATCTTTATCCAATCTATTTGCATATATATGTATATGTCTGTGTATCTGTATATATGAAATACTCGACTGCACATATATTGTAAATATCTATATGGATATATTTAATTGTAACACATATGTAACCTCATATGCCGCTGTCTGTGGCCTGAGTTGAAATATAGTTCACTTCAGTTCAGCCATCATGTCGAAATATCCAGAAATCCCATAGCATAGCATAGCATAGCATAGCATAGCATAGCATAGCATAGCATAGCATAGCATAGCATAGCATAGCATAGCATAGCATAGCATAGCTGGTAAAGACAATGGAGTAGTGAGTACGTACGAGAGTAGAAGTTCAACTACACTAAATCAGAATTAAATGCTTCCTGAGCTAGAAGCGTATGTAAACATCTGAAGAGATAGAGACATGTGAAAGCTGTGATTGGATGAAATAGTGTAAGATTTTTATGTTTCTTAAATGCACATTCATCCAGTAATAAAAACTGACCACAATTTTAAGTATTTAGTGCTGTATCGCCATGACTTTATATGCTTATTTGTATACAGATATTGTTAAGGAAGTGGCATTTTATGCGGAATGTTGATGTGCTCAGCCTCCTGTGCTCGGAATATTGGCAGGATAAGTTGGCGGGAATTTGTGTTTTTTATTGTAGTTTAAAGGCCAGAGTGTACCCATGTGTACATGGAATGGCTGTTGACAGCCTGGTTGATTTAAAAAAATATAACGTTACTATAGAAGTCTATCGGAATATATTTGGTCTTGCGTAACCTGGAAGCATGAGCGTAGAAGCACGATGGCAACCAGCCAGCTCTGGCTGGATCAGCAGGGTCGGCTCTCAGAACACCTACGGGCACCGGGGACTTCTTTCCCCTGGAATACCAATATGGTCAATCGAAACGACCACATATATTGCAGATAATACAGTCGAGCACCGTTGTGTCGAACTTTGGTAACTCGATATCTCGGTTGTCTCGATATAACATCTCGGCCCCGGCAAAATCCTTCATAATTTATCATTCTAGCACGACATTGTGTGTTACTCGATTCTGATTGGCTGAGAGCTCATCAAAACCGTACTTAAATGGCAGCTTAAGACCGCTAATTAAAGTGACCGATTCACCGCGTATGAATACAACGAACTCGTAGACCCTATTGTTTGTAAACAAACATGTCCGACATCGGCAATGTTCTATCTCGGCAGCATCTTTGGTGTTTTTGAAGTAAAAAGCGAATGGTTTGAAGAAGAGTTTCTTGACCCTAATCCCAGTGAAGAAACTACGAAGCTGGAAAATCCGTCAGCAGCTCAAATGCGGCAGTATATTCAAACCGGGTCCAGATCTACGTGTGTTGACGTCGACAACACACGTCGGCCCATACGTCCTAACCTGACCGCTTCCGTCCCGGCCGTAATGCCGCGTCCTTCCACTTCCACTGTCCATGTATCCCACATAAAACGTGGCATGTCAGGTTTTTACCAAATTGGGAATAGTAGGGTGGTTATCAACAATTATTTCCGTGAATAAAGTTAGCGGCGACTTAGACTAAGGCTTAGTCTCTGAATATATATAATTTTGATAGTAACAAACAAGCCCATTTATATTGAAAAGGAGCCCTAGGGAGACCAGAGATTCAGAACCTGAGGAAATCTAGACTTGCTTTATTTAAGGCTTTAGCACTGCAGAGAGGGCTTGGCAGTAGGGAAATTAATGTGGTTCAGGGACTGTGAGACAGACTAGCGGCGACTAAACGTAGCGAGTTGAATTGGGGCGAGTCGATTGTCATACAGTAGGGGAGATCAATAATTCGCTTGAGAAAAATCAAATAATTGTACTTGCTCACAGTATAAACTGTATTTTTATTATTTATGTATGCTACTTGTTACAAATACAAGCATAATGGTTCCTGAAATAAAGCATTTATGTTGTTGAAAATGTCTTATTTTGTTCATTAAACAACCTGTCCCTCAACGGGACGATTCCATGCGATTGCCAGGAAAAAGGCCCCTTCACGCCTTGTGTTCTTGCGCGCCAAACAGTTCGGTTTTAAAACGCTTATCAGTCGTGCTAGAATGAAGATAAAGCTACTCTGTTTTCAATGTTGCGGTCCTTTCTCTTTGATTTAAGACCGCTAAATGTTTAATTTAGCGGTCTTAAATCAACGATAAAGGACCGCAAAACTGAAAACAGAGTAGCTTTATTTCTAATTATTCAAGCTCTTTTAACTCGATACGGATGTCACGATATTTCGGATATCTCGATATAATTTCATGATCCCAACAAGCAAAATTACCCTTTTAACTCGATATTTGCAAAGAAACTCGATATTCACCCACCTTTCATGGACAAGTATCCCTCTGATCTGAGGTTGCTTCCACACGGTAACACACGGTGCGGTATGAATCCAAGGGATGCGGTAGAGTAAACTAATTAGGGCTAATTGAGTTGAAGGTGTCACTTATTTAATTAGGAATAATTAAGAAGGACTTAATTAGGAAGTACTCACTGTTACGACTAAACAGTTTCGAATCAAAACATATTGAGAAGCGTTTTGTTTTCTTTCATAGTAATATGTGATGACATGGCCTGGTCGGATGTCTCCAAGTTCGGATAACTCGATATTTTTTCTTGGTCCCATGAATATCGAGACATCGGTGCTCGACTGTATGAAGTATGTGTATGCTCCGAATGCTTGAACATACCTTTGGTCACATTTAACTGATATCACATTGTTGGTACCAATTCCCAGAAGTCCAGCTGCTCTCCTCAGAGAATAATGGCTCTGAAACGAAGAATAGAACTTCGAATCAACTCATTTTTTGTATATTTCCACTCAAAGCAAGATCGTCTATGCAATCTGAAACAGGCAATAAGAACCTTTAATCTTAGAAGTTTTCTTACAAAACACCTTGGTACCAACATTGACGTTAAAATCTCTCCCAAAACACCAATAACAAATCGAGAAATGGCATTCTCCACCGCATTTTCAGGGGAAGTTAGATTCTGCTCTAACTCTAAGACAGAGCGGGAATTCTAAAAATAAAGGTTAATGAGGGACGGTGGTTTTGAGTTGATTTTAATCAACGTATTTGTCCCATATGTACTAATAAAGGAATAGAAGAAGAATTTCATGTTATTCTTATATGTGAATGTTATGATAATCTAGGAAAATGTTATTTACCACAAATGTACAAAGGCAATCCGTATATCGATAAATTTCATCACTTGTTATCTTCTACATCAACTGAATCCCTAAATAAATCTTTGTAAATATTTATGTGTGAGCTTTGAGCTATGACAGCGGCTGGTCAATGGATAATGTATTTGTATTTCACCATGTCCCTTAGGCTATAGTACACGTGTTTACAATGCACCAATGCTATATTCATCATTGTAATAATTATTTGTATCTTTGTATAAGGGCCGGAGGCCTTCATACGAAATAAAGACTTGGACCCTGTCATTAGCGCAATGACCCTACAATAACAACAGAAACACACGCAAAAGCAAGTCCGTTATTGAAGAAAAACATAGAACATACCCGCATGAAGGTATGATATAATTCAGTATAAGGCATTATCTAGTATCACTGAGCATCAACTTTGGAAATACCCCTACGTGTCTCACAGATATATGAAAGCTTTACTCAGGGCTAAAATATATTGAAACCCACGATGAAACAACTTTTGAGTCGTAAGAAACCCACGCTCCGTATCAGGTAAAGCGACACGTAAATTATTATAGATAATCTAAACATATTATGTATATATGAAGATTACAATGTGACTGTACATGTACTATGTTAACATATGTGCACACCCGAACTCTCCCTTTGGATCCGCCCCTGATCAGTATAGTCACTTGGTGTATATTAACCATTAATAAGCACCTTGAGCTTTGTCAGTAAGTCGTTGTTATAAAGGTTTGCTAAGATTTGGCCACGGTTTATCGAAACAAACTTAAGTCTGAGTTTTGACTTAAGTTAACGTTTTCACTCAATTTTGAGAAAACACGGGAAAATGTATTTCCCGGAATAAACTGAAATCGATATTTAATTCAAACATAGTAGACAATTTAGGTATAGTAGATAGGTTACTCAAGTTTGTTTTGTTTTGTTTTATAGAAAATCAGCTGTTTCATATTGTCAAACTGAAATTTGAGTAAAAACTTGAGAAATCAGGTCATGGTCACGCGTATTGCGATGCGTCTGACACAGCAATGATGTATATATACTTATGTCAAAAATATGAAACGTGTTGCACCGACTATAATATGTGCAACTAAATACTTAAACTCTGTGGACAGGTGTTCTATGTACCATGGGCCAATGGCCTACATGTACCCCTTGCAAATAAACAAATACTCTAATACACAACCATTACATCATATATTCCTCCTCACCACGGACAGGAAACAATAATTCAATAACATACAATCCACAATTTTCAGCTGAAAGTCACCTGTTCAGACACAAACAACACCGGTTGTGTGATGCCAACCATCCCGTCTTTCTTCACGTCCGGATATGTGCGGTGCCGCGCCATCAAAACCCCATAAAAGTTGGAAACAGCGCCACCTAACGGAATATATGCATGCTACTGTATTCTGAAGACAATAGTGGTTGGATGTATTGTGCTATATTAACAGTGAAGGTAAACAGCCATTATCGATAGTCAGCGACAACTGTAGAGTTACAGTTATTTATTTGGTTATCTTCATATAATTACATACTTACAATAATTCCATTTAGAGCCTCAATATACTTCCCATCAAAACTTTAGACTCACTAGTGTAAATGTAGCCACTTACTTCAGGCAACTGTTCTGAACTAGATTTTGCAAAACATGCCATACTGTTTAAAGGTACTGTTTACACATGAACTGATGTATTGTAAAACATATTCGTAAGTCGAAAAGATTATTCTCATGAGTGCAATAAATGATAAAAATCAGTGAATATTGACGAATTCTTAACAACACCTTACACTAAAACGCAGCTGTTCGCATGCACGACATTTGCACATGCTTTTCAGCAATTTGATGCATGATCCTCGTGCAATTTATCTGCATAAGGTTTGCAGATGGTTCCACTAAGTTAGTGGAGAAATCTATATTCGATGTAACCGTATATATATATACATAACATATAGTGAGTGTTTTAAAAGAGTCTAAACTTTTGATGGGAAGTATAGAAAGAAAAGGATATGACAGGGAAGGACGAGACCGTGAATGTCATAAAGCTATGCACATTTCGATGCAAGATATCAATTGCTCACTTTTGACTCATCCTAAATTGGTGGCATAACACTGGCAAATATTTGAAATAGAAAATTAATTCAATTTTTCAATATCATTGTGCCTATACTTTAGCTGAAAATGATCAAAATTTGGAAACGTATCTTATGTTGGATGACAAGATATGACCACCACTCACCGGGAGCAAATATTCCGTCACCTTCTTCCCATCCAACAAGGCTGCGCATTCGCTGCAGTATTATTTCTTCCATAAGCGTAAACACAGGAGCAACTTCATACGTAAACCTAGAAGACAATATTCATTCTTTTTATAATTCTTTCTCGTGCATTCTATTACCAAAAAAGCTGCCGAATTATATACGTTAATTATAAAATTTGTTTGACTTGAAACATTGGTAGCAAACAAGTTCTACATGTTTCCCCATTTTAGTTCCAAAAGAAAGAAAATGATGTCAAAAGGTCATTTATTTCACCCCGCACTAAGCAATGTTACAGCTATATTACAACGGACAGTAAATAATCGAAACTCGATCAACCAGTCAGGAACCTCATATTACTAACAAAAGTCCATGTTAGTCCGAATCAGTGCTCTTAATCACTGGATTGTCTGTTCCAGACTCGATTATTTACAGTCCGCCGCCATATCGTTGGAATATTGCTGAGTGTGGCGTTAACTAACAAGCCACGTCAAGGTAGAAAAACACGCATGAAACGTTTGGAATATTTCCTGACCCGGTTCTGCGACAGGCTTAGTTATACTTACATGTTACTGTTGGCTGTTGCAGCAAGCCACTCCCCGGCGACGCCAATAACATCCACTCCGGTTCCAAGCTGATTGAGAAATCTGGGATGACCTGCAAAATGACACTCTGGATTGATTTCTTGAACATGGTATCTTTGTCTTGCTGTCTTAAACGCCAACGCTGGACGATTAGAAAACACAACATTCTTTCGATATCAGCGATGAACAGGATGAATAATATTCAAATAATTTCAGTTCAGCATTCGTTGCCTGTCAGCTTCTGCAGATGTTAACCTGGATGAATTATCAACATTTATTGCCTCAACCGATGATGTGATCGGAATGATGTGTTTGTTCGTTGCTTAACGCTGCAATCAGCAATATGTCAGCTATATGAATGTACACAATCCAGTCGATCAGGCAATCAGGGGATTAACATCATCAGCATCAATCTACACATTTGGGCTGCCATGGCATGCATCATCTGTGTAACCGATCCTGACCGCCCGATCCCAATGGTCGCTATTTTCCTCTTATGCTGAAGATAAAATCTAGTGCTGATTTTGATGGGGAAGGAAATGCTATGCAATTATACTATAACGTCTTCGCCAAATAAATATTCTTGATATATCTGAAACCGATTCCACTGGGCGTGTATTGTACCATCACCAACAAGTAAGACTAAGTATTAAGCATTATCAAACATTGCAATGAAAATCCCTTGAATAGGAGAATCGAATCCCTTCTGCTGGTATTTGACAGAGGTTCAAATTTGAAATACTATACGAGATAAGTGACTGAGTGAGAACGTGGAGGTTTAACCAGTCTTCTCTTTGGAAGAATTGTAGCTGAAGGTATTATCTGAACAGAATCCTCATATACATTATATTACAATTTTTACTTTGTCTTTGGATGTAGTGTTGTTGTCGGAATGTTGATACTTCCAGAATGACAACCGCTTAAAAATCAAAGTCCCTACTCTCTGCTTGAAGGTGTAAGGGCACGGAGTTTGAAAATCTGAGTCAAGTCAGGACAACTTTAAAGTCATCTAATCAGCGTCATGTAAATTCTCTTTACGCGTAAACAAAGCATTCATGTAGAACACCTTATTGAACGAACAAGTTCCAAAAGCAAAGTATAGTGCAGCGGTATTATACCGTTGTGGATATATTATACATCCTGAAGTTTCTGACCGCCGTGGCATCTGTGCACCGAAGGTCTATTTGTGCACTGTCTGGGCTTTAATTTGTACATATCGACATTTTCCAAATCGAGCTGGTAACAAAAGGGACGTTAACAGAATCGATTTAGAAAAATGACATCTGATTGCAACAAGGATTCCCAGATCCTTCGTTTACAGGGCCAGGTCATGTTTCGCTCGCTGTTAACGCAGGTTCTGGGAAAGTTTTGTGAGATCGCCAGGCAGGGAGGTATCGGAGAAAATGGTTTGTATTTTATGCAGTTGGTGGAATGACGTCCATAACAATTTGTTTTAAGCGAAATTATTCATTCATATTTACCTCTTAAGGTCAACGCCACATACAAGGTCAAGGTCAAGGTCGCTTGTACGGTCAAGGTCGTATATCTGTCATTAAGAGAGGTAAACGAGTTCAACAACAGGTTCAAGCGTCTCATCAGACGCAATGTGTTGAATTCGTTTTTATCTTCACGACGAGATAATGCTTTCCTGCCCACCTGATTTAACACAGTACTTTAGCGTCTCTTTGCAGTCGCTGAGTATCTGCTCCAGATCTCGTGGACTCTCGTGGATGTCGAGACAGTGCGCCATCATCTCGCGGAGTTGGTGAGGATGGTGGAAATCAAGGACCTTTCCTCCTCTGTCTTTTTGTTTCACCAGATACTGTTGCAGGACGTCAGCTATTTCGTGGAGGAAGCGGCACATCTTCTCCGAACCGCCAGACTTAAGGAAATCTGTTGTCAGGTATATGCACTGTTCCATTACAAATGTTTTTAAATCGTTGTTTAACGCCACAATCAGCAATATTCAAGCCATATAACAGCGGTCGGTAACTAAATGGAGTCTGGACCAGACAATCCTGGGATTGACATCATGAGCATCGATCTTAGCAATTGCGAGACGATAACAAACATGGACCAAGTCATCACCCTGGCCACCCGTTAGTCGCCTCTTACAGCAAGCATGGGTTGATGAAGTCCAGTTCTAACCCGTTGTTCTACTGTACATCAACGCCATGAACATCACAAATGTAATATAGTAACTACAGAAATATTGTTCACACAATTCGCATGTTTAGTCTTGATTTGCACATTTGAAAGTTCCTAATGACTTAATTGTATGGAAAGCACATAACTTCATTCAGTTCTTATTCATTATAATACAAAGGTAGAGGTATGGCCAATGGGTTGGCTTCCAATGTTTCTATTATTTGAACAGATCTTTGATCAGATCTAACGTTCTTTAGAAGCTGACAAGTGATTTGCAAAAGTGGTAAATAATCATCTTTGATCCAGGACGTGCACAAAGTTAAAACGTTTCCTTTCTGAAGTTCGAAGTCTTTAGCCCTATTTCACTTCCTATCATGGTGTTCAAGTAATAAAAGTGTAAAACGGAAAATAATCAAAGATACAATTTCAGCTGAAAGAACTATATGTCCGCGGTATGGTTAGTGTGTAATTTAAATAGTTTTCCGATAATACAATCAACCAAATCAGACTGATTCCTTGTTTTTGAGTTCGTTCACTGCAATGGTTTATGTGCAGTTAGTACAAAACCCGGTGAGTGCAAATGACTCATTGGACATCAGTTGTTAATAATATGTCCTGTAGTTTGAACTGACCAATGTCATAACTCGCAGATCATTACTTCTAAATTAATCGTTGTTTCTTAGACTTTGTCTATCACGTTGTGTGAAATATATATACAGGGATCCACAATTCGGTATTTAAGGAGCGTGTATTAAACACATTTTGTTAGAAGAGGAAGGTTTATAAAATAAAGATTTTGCATGTACAAAGAGCAAGTTTTTAATGTTTATTAGTTCCACAGGGATATAGTGCAATGTTTTATATTTACCAGTTGCGAACATGCCCTCAAATTCTGACCAATCAGGGCTGCGGCAGAACTTGGAAACCCTGTTTTCTGACGTCATTGGTGGTCTGAAGGTTAGCTCTGAAGCCATTGATTTGGTAACGTCATCGTTGGCAGTCGTCATAGTGTTTCCTTCCAAATGTTTAGGCTCTTGGACGCTTCTTGCTCGTTTTAACTTTTGAAATACCCCGCAATCAAATGCCATATCTGAAAAAGATCATGTAGTCACGACATTTGCTTCTTGAAAAATACAATCTTGGAATCTTTTCAAAACATCATAAAGGGAATAAGCTGTGTCAACTTTGAAGTTAACAGCATCACTGACATATTGGAGAGTTTAACACAATAGGTCTTGTGAATCCTTGAGTCCTGCAAGATTCAAAGACAACGAGTAGTTGTGAACAAAGCGACAAAAGCCTTTCCACATAAAAACTGTGGAAAAAAGCTAAAACCTTTGTCTATTGTACAATTCCGACTATATCATGAGAATGTGTTTATAAAAAAATATTACTATCAAATAGTGTCGATAAAGGTGCCCCACCTATGACATCAATCATAAATGCTTGCAAAGGCATGTCAATTATTCTCCTTGAAAAACACGAGTTAGTGAGTTTAGTTTTACGCCGCACTCAGCAATTTTCCAGCTATATGGCGGCGCTTGAAAACACAAGAACGTGTTGTACAAGTCCTAATGGGGAATGGCAGCGGACATAATTTTGAGTCACTGATACTTCAAATTTAGAAATGTCATCCCGTCTGTTATGTTCGTTGGTCGATACATTGATTATGGTTCTCAATATATTGCTTAATTATTACTACATTACCGATTTTACCTTGTGGCGCATACGACGATATGGACATGAATTTACTTCCACATTTGTTTTTGAATACGACATTCATTGATATTCACCATAATTCGCTTCTTCATATCCATCTGATGAAACAATCACACATGCAGTACTAAATCATTCACATCAAACGGTAAAAAATATAGTAACAAGATTTCTATTAAAATCCGTTTCCCATTGCTGTCACAGCTTGCATGAACTAATACATTTCTGCTGTACGTTGATACACATGGATTACTGACGTGTATTGTTGATGATAATTTGGTTATTCAACCAAGAGCAATGCGAATATTTCTGGAAACAAAATGAAGTTAAAGATGGATAACCTATTTACTATTTTTCCAAATAATATATTCCAATCCCGAAGATTAGTCATCATTCAGGTCTTTTATAAACTGGTGTTCATGGAGCCCATGGTAAATACTTAGAAACCCGAAAAAATGAAAGGTGTATGTATCCTGAAGATGACACGCAATACCAACTCACATCATGTGTGTTGCGTGCATACATCAAAAGGTGATGAGTTTGGTTTTACACCGCTTTTAGCAAAGTTCCAGCAATATCGCGTTTGGAGACACCAGCTGGAAATGTGGGGAATCGAACCTGGGTCTTCGGCGTGACGAGTGAACGCTTTAATCACTTGCCTACCCCACTGCCCCTCAAAAGGTGATGCAACGCTTAAACATCAGAGAACAAGGACTGTATTACAGCGATTGGCGGTTTCAGTTCCACTTTGAAACTTGATTTCTCCATATGGAATGTACTCTCTCCCTGACGAATGTGAACCTGATGCAAGCAAGCCATTTAAAAAGGCGAGGTCAGCATGTTTATTATGTTTCCCTGAATATTGCCAATCACATTGCTGTCAAAAGGGACAGAAAATTTAATAACAAAACTGGTTACACTGTCTTTATCAAAAAGGACAAGATCAGAAGTTTTCCTAGGCTGTAATGGCCTATTCCAATGATGTTTAAGCACAATTTTCCATGTTGACATTCTCTTTGAGAATCACAATTCGGGACGTCTCCCAGGAAGAACTGCCACGTCGAACCCACCAGGAACTTTCCCGAGGAATTATAGGCTCCCCACCACAGCAGCCTTTTGAATTAGGGTCAGAATAACTGTGTTCCTAACGGCAAGTCCAGGTACTCTCCCAACATCAGTCTAGAGATTAAGAGGTACGAAATCCCAGGCATTAAGAACAACAACTTGGTGCTTGTGATGCAAGTGTGACACAGAATAAGCGAAATATCAGCCATGAATTTCCTGAATCTTGTCAGTCACATTAGTGTCAAACGGGACAGGCCATTCAATGGTATAAATTATATCATTGAATGTATCAAAAACTACAAGATCAGGCTTATTAGCCTTGATGCGTCTAATGCTATGTACGGCTCTATTCCCGAGAAATATCATTACCCTTTTCCTTCTCTCCCTCTACATATTCTAATCGTACAACGGATGGACCTCAACCTCAAGCCTGGCAAAGAAGAACGAGCCACGATCATACCAGGTTTGTGTTTGACAAGGTGTTGGGCAGTCGCATTAAAGGTACATCATAATCTACATTTCATAGTTATGTGTATGTACTCACCATTGCATCACCACAACCCGTTACCGCAGCATGTTGGTAAAATGGGATAATAGCTGGAAGTCCATTATGCTAAAGTCACACATATTTAATTAAAAATTAAAAATAAATTTCTTTTGGTGTCAGAATAGCTGTGACTACAGATTATATATTAAATCAACGTATTAACAGTAAATCATATAGTGTCAGAAGAAACTCATTTAGATACCACCTGTTGCATGATAGTAATAGCCTCAATTATATTTACAACCTGCTACTATGAGTGATTTCCACATTTGCTTACAATCCACGAAATATCTTGACACTGCAGCTTCAGCCGATGCCAAAATTGAAGAAAACAATATTTGATAATAGAGCTTTTATCAAACTTTCTTCTAAATTGAAGAAAATATGTCAAACTTTGACGCATCCGTCACGGCACCAAACGCGGAATTTATATCATTGAGACAAACGAAAAAACAGTATAAAATACCTGCCATGAACGGATTTGCGTATATTTGTCAATATTTCTATCTTTTGGCATTTATTCCATATGAATCTATATCGTTGAAACATATTCTCATTGTATGTATATAACCTATGCACAACCACTTTGCTATACATGCTATGAGCAGATTTGTAGAGACTTCCAAGCATCCATTCAACTGTTGATACCCCAGTAAATGCTGGATTAAGGAGTGTTCCCAATACATTCCTTTTAATTGTAATAAGAGCTGAAATTTCCGAATCTTTTCTAAGTTTCTAGCGATGGAAATATGGACATTTCCTTAGATGGGAAAACGTTTATGAATTATTAAATATTCAAATGTTTCTATGCCTTAGAAACATGTATCATTCCGTACAAACATACAGACATAAAAGGTATGTATAAGTACATGTTTTTAGATGAATACAGGTTTGTCCAACATCTTACATACTGGGTTCAAGTTGTTGTTGTTTTTACACAAATGCCGAGACCTTTGCCATCAAGGCTCATATGACATAATTAAGCTTCTTCAGATAATTTTTTGGGTAAGTAAAACCATTCGGTCCATTCGGTTACCAGCTTAATTATTTGCCTGCAACAGGTTGTCGGTTCTTTATGCCCATTCACATTGGGGTATGGAATTGTTGTGTTAGATATGCAATGTATTATTACTCTCTTTCAGTTCATTTACACGATAGAAACATTTTTGTAGTGTGTTACAACATATGATTTCCACCATAGCTATAAAATCTCTTCAGTAATAAAACGTAATCCAAGCTAATTTTGTTGTCCATTGTACGATTCTGATTTCATATTAGGAATTTCTATCAAGTAGAAATGGTAACGGCTGCTTTGCGAAAATGGGAGCACATTCTGTTCCATCGTTTGTCTGCGTGGATAACACACACAAAGGGTAGTCGCCAGGAAAACTACCTAGACAATATGGCACAAGTGAAAATAGGGTGATCTCATTCGTTACTTATGGAGTACACATAGTCACAAAATAATCGATTAAAACACACACACGCTCTCTCTCTCTCTCTCTTGGACTTTTGTGACTTTATCCTCAAAGGGGGTTAAAGTACTGTAAAAGTATTGTCCTCCTGAGAGGGTACGTAAGTCCCAAAACATTCGAAATATACTAAAACTTTCCACTTTTTTAATCGTAGAATACATGACTTTTTAATATATGGCTAGATTTGCTAAATTGCAAACGGCTGAAGGGATGGTGTAAATCCAGCTAGGGTCCAGGGAAGCAAATGTACTGTAAGTCCCCATGGTCCCTAGTATGGTGATCTACCTTTAGTTGTTGGCTATCTATAGCCTGGTTTTATATTGTATAGTTAATATATCTTAGACTTAATTACTAGTTTTAAATTTATATCTGTGATAATCTAGTTGTTTTACTCTCCTTCGTTGACAGAATTCTATAATTTACTTTAAATTGTTAATATATTTATAACTTGATTTAGTCACGATATGGCTGAAATACTGCCGATGTAACTTAAAATTTAACTCACTCACTCACTCTTGGACTTTTGATGAACGCTAGAATTGCACAATTGAGGGCTTTTGCATTGCAGAAGTTGTTTGGAAAATAATGTGGTTCACGGACTGTGAGACTAAGGGCCCAGCTGCGCAGAGCGAATATGGCTGGCACAAGGAGGGACGCACATTTTAAAACCCTAATCTCACAGTACCATAACTTGTTCTTAAAGAAATAGATCTCAAACTGAAAAATATATAACACTTGCCATATGAATGCTATCATTTATAAACAATATTACGAGTCAGATTTCAGACATGACCTTGGGAAGTGCCCTTTGTTCCATGATATTTTTACATTCCATGACATTTTCTCTCTTTGACTTTCTTGGACTTATGGGACAAGATTCCCGCTGACGCCATCTGCCGACTGACAACGTCAATGAGGAGACGAGTGTTGGCTTGTATCTATACCTAGGGTGGTCACACTCGCTATGCCCTGACTCCTGTCTCAATTATTGACAGATTTGTGTAGTTTATCATTTTGAACCCTTTACTCTTTCCCGGTGAATTGCGACACACGCAAGACCAGCATTACAATGAATTTCAAGTCAAATTATTGGAAAATAATTTCTGTTTGTAAAATAATTATCATAAATCTCACATACGTCTTTGTTAAACTTTCCATTTTTTGGTCAAGTGAAGTGAAACTTTCTTTTGCCCGGTAGTTTACATGCTGTCCAAAACGTATATTTATGTACACATAATTCGTCCATTTGAATGATTGCTTTGGGTATGAAGTTTGTATGTGACTTTG